ACCGTTGGCTGGGCTGCTTTTCTTCTTATGGTTGAGCAAAGTCTACTTAAGACTTATATACAGACACATTGTGGCAGCATCAATGTCATAGTGCCAAAATGATGTGATGTAGAAAAAATAAGAATAACTGAAAATATAAATATGCTGGGATCAGTAAAGAAAAAGACAGTAAGTGTGAAATCCTGTTTTCTCTCAAAAATCATTATGGTTAAAATAGGATGCAGAAAAAAGGACTTGAATGGGCCAATCCTGTGTGAAAAAGTGAAGAAAACAAAAAACAAAAAAATGCCATAGTATAGAGTATTTTGAAAAATAAAAGATATTTCAAGGTAATTACTGTTTTATGACTAACCATCTAAGCTCAAAGCAGTTAAGAACGCTGTCTCCTGATATGTAAGGTGGACATAACTGTATTCAGGAAAAGAAGAAAAGAACACAAATAACTCTAGCAGAGTATGATTGAATAACTATTAAATATGGGCAGTGACCTCTGCAGCCGGCACAGTACTCTTAATGTTTCATTAATCTCACAGCTACTTTTAAAACAATAATTTTCTCCATTTGTCCCCATCAGGGTTCATACCAGTCACAGCCATAGAATTAAAGAGAGTATTCAATTGGAGTTTGATTTATTGGTTTACTCTGCATATTGTTTCCACACCCGTGAATTTAATCTATTAAAACAAATGTCAAATACATTAGTATCCACTAATGTCACAGCAGAATGCTTGAGGACAGAAAATGATGAGAGGGCATAGAGTGAGAAGGAAACTAGAGATGATTAACCTTGACCTGCCTTTGGGCAATTCGAAGTGAAGGGCTACTGGAGCTGAGAACAAAAGCACTGTAATATTATTTTGAAACGCAGGGGAATGTGGAGTCAGAAATGCACTGCTGCTGCTGGTATGTGTGAAAGGGACCCTATTACATTCACACGATTGTATTCGTATTGTTCGTGTTAGTACCTCTTGAAAAAATAATGATTGTGGGATGGTAGATTATTTAAAGTTCAAACTTATAAAAGATACACATCCATCTGAATAGTGCAATGCCACGTGAGGTAAGCATTCTACGTCTTGAAATTCAGTGCATAGAGAAACTAGAGAGAAACTGGGATCAGAGAATCAAAAGATCAGAAGAAAGAAACATTGAGTATTCTTTCAGGAGCCAGGAAAACATCTTTCTGTTTCTCTTCATCCCTTTTCAGCTTGTGCTCTGATGAGGTTTGTTCTGAAATAACATTCAGTTTAGCATAGAACAAAGAATGTCTTTTAGGCATAGGAGTTATAAATAGTATTTCACCAATCAGTTATGAATTGTGAGCATCACTTATGGAAAAAAACTGTTTGTATTTACTCACAATCATTCACCATCTATTCATTAAAAACAGCTTTACATTTCAAATGGCAGTATATATTAGGATAATAATCCAAATTTGGCCATTTGGTGTGAATCCTCACCTCATAGCAGGTCAGTGAGACAAAAAAAGCTGGTTGAGGAGCTGCATCTTACCCGAATACAACAGTAAAATCTTCTTTAAATTCAAACAGAAAAGTACTTTCAACCAGTGTTGATCTTATGATTTGGTTGAAATAACAGTAAGCGCTTTCAAACTCTTTCCTTCTAATTGTATATGCATACATGATTCATATTTTTGTTTGTCTCTACTGGAAATCAACACAAAATAGATCCAAAAGAGAAAAAAGGGTAAGACTGTCAATCCAAAAAACATTTGATAATCAGTGCATTTTGCATATGAAAAAACTGTATTGTGCAGTAAAATGCCAAGTGTCAACAACAATTTACAGTGGAATTGAAATGATCACTTCAAACATAATTTCACATAATGTATTTATGCCTTTTCTAAGCAAAAAATGTTGCATAAAAGATATAGAATGCAATCAAATTTGTAAATGTAAGCCTGAATTATGTACTCAGAGGATATGGAACAATTTATGTGGAACAAAAGCAGCTCCAACAGTCTGCATGACACCACTGAAATGAAGCAGGTAGGTAACATCCGTTCATCTGACCCCATGGAGCTCTGCAACAACCCCTTCCATTAAGTTTCACCATGGAAATTGAGGTTGGCACTGATCCTGATAGTGCTCACCAAGCTATATTCCCACAGCAAAGTCTACATCTATATATTTTCAGATTATTGGCAAGCACATCTATATATAGCTGTATATGTTTTTTTTTTTAAAGGAAAACCTTTAGCATTAAACATCACACAGACAGGAACATCTTGTAATCATGGCTAAAACGACACTTTGTTTCGGGCTGGTCTGCAGAGGCTGTGCACGCTCTCGTTCCATCCCCTATTACAAATCAGATGCGTTGCAGCATCATGAGCTGTGTATTCCTCTGTGGTTTCCTGAACCAAGGGGGAGGATTCAATTTGGTGCAGTGTGATCTAATCAAAGTCCTGCCGGGTGATAAGCTCTGCTGGTACTACTGGCTTCCCATGCTTTCCCAGAAGTAAGGGTAATAAAGCTTAGCAATAAGTAAGTTTACCCAATTCATGTCTTTCAATGGCTGATAGCGACTGCTGGGGGCAAGACTCCAGTGAGATACAAAATGATCTAGAGCCGCCCTTGGACCACAGATAGCTCACATTATAGTCTTTTTCTGAGCTCACCTGTTGGGATCACTTATGCATCAGCATTGCAGCAGTGTATCCATACATGAGACAGAGAGCAAGAGTGCAAGGTTGGCACTGGAAGAGATATTAACAGTGAGATTCGGATTTCTGCTTTGACCTAGCAAATAGAACTGGCTGTCAAAGTGTAAGATGAAATATTTGAGATTGTTGGCATCATCAAAGGAGATAGTTCAACAGTAATATGAGAAAGTACTCCTTTATCAGTCACAGCAAAAACAGATCTTTATGCAGAGAAGCGCTGTCCGAGGTGCGCTGAGTGCTTGGCAGAGCACGTGAATGGGGCTGAGTGTAGATATTAATCAGGAGACGGTGTTAGACACCTGCCACCCTGGGAACCCACAGCTCTGGTGTCGAATCTCCTTCAGTGATCACAGAAGGAGCAGAATACTTTGCACTGAGAGAGCACATTGTGATCCAGCCATAGTTTGTAGCCATTGTTTTGGCAAATGCTCTTATCTGCAAATACGAGTAAGGGCACAGCCCTGTGTCCTGTCCATGGTATTTGACTGTAGTCAGATGTAAAAGGAAGAACTTATCAACTTATCATGTTGCCCATGTCATGCTTAAGTGTACCAATACAACGAAAGGAACCGAACAAATGTGGAAAAGGTAATACTGCAAACTAAAGGCTAGAAGACAAGTAGGAGAGACAGACTAGAAAGCTGATTGTCTTTGCTGTGGGCAAGACATTAATTTAGTGAGGGCTTTATGACCACACACTGATCAATAGCACATTTAGATGGAGTGGGGAGCCTTGAGTTTGGACTTAATTGTTCTCTCTGTTTCTCATCACTTCAGAGTGCATTTGAAATTCCTCTTTTCATAGGCAGATGCTTGAGTTAGACTTAATTGCCCTCCGTGTGTGGCAACAGAATAGATTAAAAGTTTTGGAAGAATTGCAGGGAACAAACGGATTAAAAAAAAACTATTTGTCGGATAGATACTGAGAAGCAGTATTTTCAAACACTTCTGGGGAAACAATAAGTGCCTCTTTATTTTCAAATTAATCTTGGTTCACAAATACAGAAACCCATTTTTTTAGTGAAAAATCTCAAATGTACTTCAATCAAAATCTCAGAGGGAAGTTAAGTGCAGCTATGGCACACCGTGGAACATGAGAAACATGAAGAACTCCCACTGCCCACTGTAGAATCTAATCAACAGCATCAGAGACCTTCTACACGACTGTAAAAATCAGCCCTGGCACATTTATCTCTGGGTATACGCTCTGTGTATATTATGTATTGGAATCATGTGGGTTTTGTAATTACACCTGGATCTCCCTAAAATCTCCCCATGTGCAGATTAAGACAGATACCGTAGGTGCCAAATTAAAAACAGTAATAATAGATGCAATGATACATACAAAACACCTTAGGCAGTGTTGAGTTTTAGTTATGCATGCAACTCTCAGTGAGATCTTTTCTAAAAAATATGTATACAAATTTGTGTCATAAGTGTAGGCTTGATGAGTGTGTAGTTACTGAAAATGTTCAGTAGGGATCTGAAACTAAATAATGGATAAGGAAACTACAAACATAAAACTCTTTAAGTTTGCAGCAAATTAAAAATAATGAAGTTATCTTGGCATAAAAAAGCTGTGGGTCTGGTTAAAAAACTGTTCTGTTGATACTATTGGTACTACACCACAGTTTTGTACAAATTAAATATATTTTTAGAGATGTTTTAAGAGACGTTTTGAAACTAACGGGAAGTATGTCTTCTTCAATCAAACCTGAATGCGATTTGCTTTTATACTTATGTGTTTAATGTAACCTTACTCTTAATAAAGAAGCAAATGTGTCAATTTCTGTCTTAAAAAGTCAACGTTTTGTCATATTCTTTCTTTAATGATAAAGAAATTATTTTTTTCCTGTACTTTAAAATTGTCGTGGCACATATTTCCCCTTCTGTCTGAAATGCTTCACATTCATGAAAAAATATATTTGATTCCCAAAATTGAATATAAAAAGTCATTTTTTATAACTACCACTGCTTTTCAGTTTTCACATACGCTTCCAGTATACATCTAGTCATTCAAAATGATGTGTCCAGACATTTTATTGACTCTGTTTCTGCACAATTAAAAGATTCATGAAAAACAGGTGAAAAAATAGAAAAAAATAGATAGTTTGCAGTGTTCTGCCGTCAGTGGTTGCCAGAAGAAATGTAGCTCAGAGAAGTGTGCATGCTTTGACTATTGCTTGAATTCACTATTTCTTACAGAGTTTGTCAGCATGTACGTTTTTGATGGGGGTGTACTGTGACACACAAAGACACACTGACACATAGAGAGAGAAGTAGAATAATAAAAGAGATGACTAACCTAACCCACCTGAGCTCGGCTCACAGGAATCAATGTCCTCATCATCGCTCGGACACTCGGCTGAAGCCACCAGCAAGTCGTCAGTTGTCTGCAAAGAGAAGGGTTGAGATGTGAGGGCATGAAATACTTTAGCTACATCCATGAGGTAAGATGACTCCCTCTGAAAACGAGCAAAAGGACAGTTTCAAGAGGTTTAGGTCAAGGAGTGTGGGGCAGACGGCATGTGAATCTAGACACCTTCAATTGTTCGGCTGCTGGATCCATCTGTCAACACCACCACATGCTGCCTGGTGCGGCAGCTGCCGCGCTGCTTTCCAGGCAGCAGAAATTAGGTCTGATTATCGGGGAACAGTGGAGGCTGAGGTTCACAGCACAATCGTCAACTTGCATGCTCAATTTATGTTTCAGTGTGTGGCTTTGAAAAGTACTTCAAGGCATTGTTAAGAGCCATCACAAAACACCGCTGACATTTGCAGGACAACTGGCCATGAAAGCTTAAAAAAGAGATGGCAAACAAAGGGCACAGCAGCCGGGGTTTAAATCGATATTTTTTCTTCTCTCAATGTGAATCAGTATCTCTTTTACAGAATAAGGATACAAAATAAACCAAAATCATTACTCTGCTGACATATCTACGCTTACGCCCAAACCGTTTTAGATTGTTCTTGGGGCACTTCCTCACCTGCCAAGCGTCACACATTTCATCCTCTAGGAAAATGGGAAAGGGCAAACAAAAGAAGAGCAAAAAGCCCACTGTAAAACATTACACCGCAATGTTCTTTTATAGCCTTGCTTAAGGCCATTTGATCAGCTCTGCGTTAAAGGTCATTTCATTTAAGCGTGGCAGGCTCTTCAAGACCAGTTCAGATTTTTGGTTTTGGAATGCTGCAAAGCACAAAAAGCTGGTGTCATAAATTCACCCCTCAACATATCCATTTTGCAAATTTTTGTTTTAAAAGATGTAATCAATGCTTTTCTAGATAATCTTTTCATACTCCTGGGTTTTTATGTTTGATAGCCACATTATCAATAAAGAAACAGTGTGCATGGAAGACATCAGGCCAAAAAATGAAGATGGACTTTGGTCATTATTGAATTTGTGCTTTTGTTCATGTTGCTGCATCAAAACATCTGCAAGTTGGATTAGAATTGACTCATCTTCAGGAAATTAAAGATGATGTCATTTCGCTGAGCATCCATTTGGCTGCACATAATGTGATTTTATTGTGACTGTAACATAATTTTGACATGCTGAACATAGGGCAACATCATCTTTACATAATAGACCTGGGAATGATAGATCAAACCCATTAAGGATGCTGTGGTAGAGGGCTGTTTTGGTGCATCTGTGAAGTGTGAGGCCTGGGGAAGCCGTCCAAATGTAAATTTAATTTGCTGTGCATGAGGCTGATATACAGTGTCGGCCATCCAGATGGCAACACCACCAGATCCTAGAGTGCCACATCCATCACTTTTGCCGCTTGATTTGTTTTTCCTGGCAGGAGATCTTGACACTCTGCACTCACTGGCAGAAGTATGGGAATCAAGGAATCAATAATCCTTCTCTTGTCGTCCCACCTTTCAACTCTTATTCTCTGTCTTGCATCCTCCTTCTCCTTTCTATTTCTCTCTAACACAGTTCCTCCATATTATTTGCAAGTTTAGAAGTGGAAACAGTGTGATGTGGGTGTACTCGATGTAGGTTAACTCCCTGTAGGAAAACCTAAGCGGAGGTTTTTATAATTATGTTTCGGTTGCCTCAAACAGGTCAGAAAACTATATGATGAGGTTTTAAACTCCACTGCCAAAGTAGGATTTAATACATATGCATATTTACATCCCTCTGTATGTGATAATCTTTGATTTTGTGTTTAAGGCTACATTTCCCAGCCACTTTGTAGAAATAGATGAAAACAATTAATTAGGATATGTTGGATTATATCTATACACACAAAAATATCAAAGGCCTCCTCAAACCTCCTCAAATAATAGATGGATATGAAAGCTACATTTGTATCCACCTATTTTAGTTCATCAAAACTAATAAAATGTGGCTTGTTTTTCAATACTTTTTTGTAGCAGATATAAGCCTCTAAATAAACACAAAGATGATTTCACGTGTAGCCGGGCATCTGTCTGCCATCCAGGATTAGTGTGTAGGTCAACATTTTGATGTGGTCATGACCTGGTTGAAATCCAATAACATTACCAATTCATGGTGTCCTCTTCCACTGCCTTGCTTCTTTTTCACCCGTGACAATTCAATGTGGACTATGTGGGAGGCTTACTATGCAATTTAGTCCCAGTGATGAAAACTGACAGGTAGTTTGGGCTGAAAGTCCAGAAAAAAGACTCTGAAATCTTTGGAGATTCTTTTTTCAAAGATCTTCTATAGGCCACTGGGTAGCCATGTGATCATTCTGATGTCAAAGTGATTGTGATCTTTTTTTTGGAAACACTATTAGAAATTAGGCTTATTGATGTTTACACCATTAGAAGAGATGCCCCAATAGCTGGGAGTATAAACAAAATATACCTGCAGTTTATTTCATGAAGATACTTCTAAAATGCTAAAATCAAAGACTGGAGGCTTGTAAGGCATCATTAATCTAGCTGTAAAGTGCTGAAGCCATGGTGAACCTACAGCACAGCTCATTTATCTGCCTCTGCTCAGAGCAGCAGAGAACTCATTCCTGTGAGAATACCTGGAGAGACCACTGGAAAAGTGGGAGAAAAGAAGTGCCAGTGAAAACTACTAAAACTGTTATTTGATATTTTGAAGAGCTAAATACAGAGATGTAAATAAAAGTCAGTCTTGGTAAATATATTCTTAGAAGTAGAGCTATTGACCTTGACGCATGCACTGATTGAGCCATCAAAGGTGATGCGGATCAGGGAATTCCAGCCTGACTCAGCCAAAGTTTCCCTGGTGCTTTCTTTACTGTCATGCTGGTTTTCGATCTTTGAGGATTGATAATGGTCCTCTATAATGAGATGTCCCGGTCGAGCCGTGCTCTGCATGTGCTCACTACGGCTTTGTCAGCAGTCGCATGGACACCAGTAGATCTACAGCTCTACAAACACCTAACGGTTTACTACCAACACCAAACAGCTGCTGTTTCAAAGTTACTACATAGAGCAGGTAGTTGTCCTATAATGCTCTGAATTTGAACAGTTCTCAGTGCACTTTCTTTGTACTGGCCTGTATAAGGAAGGGGAGGGGAGAGCTGTTCTTCAGGGAGGATGCTGTGTGCTGGTGCCCTGGTGCTTGAGAGCAAGAGACACCTTTGCTGTGATAACCCGTCGGCATGTCTCTATGGACTGCTGTGGGTTTTCACATTGCTTTCTCTCTGGTCTAATTTGATGAATGCTCCCTGGCATACAACACGTCTCTTTGGAGATGAACTGAAAGTCAGGAGGACACTGAAGGCATCTGAAGGGTTTATCCAAAGCATGGCTCTGCTGTCCTTGTAATGTATTCCACTGAGGAAGCATGCTGTTTTCTTTTGCTTTCCTGTGTTTTTACCTGAGTAAAATGGATACAAATCTCCAGATTTAACGTCCAGCTGACACAGCAAACCAGCCATTATTTTTAAGAATCCTGCAGAATAACAGCTCACTTGAATCTGTGTTATTTTCAGCAGATCAAGATCAGGTTACAATCAATTCATTGGTAGCATAGGTGAACCAAGTGGACGTTCTCCTTATGAAATTCCACTGATCATGTTGACTGTTAATATGTTTGATTTTAATATCTCAGGGATTTTTTTATAGTCAGATTTGTTTTAAAGAATATAATAAATAATTTATTAAAATAAGAAAAGCATGCTTCATTTCTTTTAAAGCATTATGTATTATATCCATTTCACTTTTAGAGGAATGTGTTATGTGCTAAACTAAAAAGAAATCAATATTTAACCCTTACTTATTATATGCAAAAAGGGAATAGCCTATGTGGTCTTTCTAAAACTTTCCAGCATTTATAAATTAGATACACCTAAAGCAAATATGCGTTAGAGGGTTTTGTGTTAGATTAGTCACAATCTCTTATCATAATTGTGTTATCTAACAATAATTTGAGGAAAAAAAGTCCAGTTTAAGTCAATATTAGTATCAAAATGTATACTCATATCTTGTCTGTATGGAAACTACCACCATACATAAAAAATATTTCTCTCTATATATTCCTTCTTCGAACATGTGCTATTATCTCCAAATCTTGCAACTATTTAAACTGATGTCACCCTGGTCTGCCTATATCTGACCAGAGCTGCAGTGTGCCCACTACCATAATTGGGAGGAGTTTGTTGTCCTGAGCTTCAGTGTTGCAGCAACACATCATTAGTGAGCCGGTGAGAGGCAGAAGGAGGCAGTGGGACAGGACTCATGGTTCGACACAGGATGAAAAATGCCTCTGTATTCTTTCCGTGAGAGCACCACACCTAAAGGCTCTGTTATACAAAACTAAAGTCTGTAACAATGGAATGGTGGCAAGTACTCTTTACGATGCAGGCACATAGTCTCTGTTGAAGCATGACAGCTATCACACTGCAGCAGCAGTCTCTCTTATCAGGACGTCCAATGACATCCAAGTATCTAACTTAGCACACTGGAACTAGGTCGATGTTGATGAATAATTTAGTCCCAGATGCTCAATAGATTCTAACTGAATAATGAAGGCGTGGGGGACTCTCAGACTGTGAGTTCAGATCAGTGTATTGCCTGGCCTTCGCCCACACTCTTCCTACTTGTTGCCTGCCAAGCTGTCAACATCATGTCCTCGCACTGATACAGACTTGCAAGGCCGAAAGACAATGAAATGGGATTAATGGGATCAATAAAATCATTATTATTAATAAACACTAAATGATTTGTAAACAAAAAATACTTATTTTCCCTCAGGTCTCTCTTTAACAATTAACAAAAGCTCTGACTTAAGATTTGAAGGTGACAGAGCAGATTGTCACAGCAACTCACACTAGTGATGAAAAATGGCAAGCAACCAGCTGGGTAAAAATTTGGCTATTTTCAACTGTATCCACCGTGAATGGGAGATACATAAGACTCCGCAGCATTTTTTTTTTTTTT